AAAAATACTTTTATAATTTCTTATTCTGTCATCGCAATGACCAAGTAAAAATTGAGTTTGAAAGGCTTTTCATATTTAATTTCTGCTCTTAGGGAGAACTGCGTCGAATACTAGGTATATGGGTCTTTTTTAAGATAATTCAGAAATTCTGAAAAGCTTTCTAAACTAAGAATTTTGCACCTGGCTGGGAAATATGATTTTCCTTCGGCCGTGATCTTCATCGTATGCAAATTTTGCCGCCTAACTATTTACAGGTAAATCTACTCCCTTCATATTCATACAATACGTTAAATTGGAGTTTCTAAATGGTAAAAAAGATCACCTTAGACAAAATATTTACGATGCATAGTACAAAATCAATTTTTGTACGATTGAAACCAAACCTATGAATAAATATGCGAGATTACTTGATTATCATAAACCGATCGACAAAAACTAATTAATCAAGGTTCACCACACCATATGGCCGCGTCCATTAGAGATTGTGATCGTTTCATCAGGTCTTGGAAACAAATTTTCGTGGCTTTGATGAAAAAATTCCAACATTTGCTGCGGCTTCGTGTACATTAAGGGCTCATTTACCGCGTCAGTTACATTCGAAACTTACGATCGCTATCGAAAGTTTGATCTAAAATTTACTTCTACTACTTCTGCTGACGGCATTTATATTATTCTAATTGTGGAAACCGAATGTCACTAAACGAATGTTACTTCACAGTTTCACCTCTGCCGCTATCTGGTGTATCTGAAGTTAGCCGTTTTTTTAAACAAAAATGCCAAAATGAAGGCCACTATTAAACCGCAAAACGTAAGTCACAGCGAAAATTTCCCCGCGCTTTCTCCAAATGAATTAAAATACGCAAGTACATTTTGGAAGCAATTTGACGTCTGAAAGTTACTAACAAATAATGAAATGTACTTCTATTGCTTTCAGCTGGAAACTGAAATCCTAAATGTAAGTCACACTGTTTTTTATATTCTTTCAAGTCACCACGCTATCTGAATATTGAATTGATTTCCACTGGGAGAGTTTCTAAATATTTAATGTGATAGAATTAATAAAACGCGATAGGGGAACGATCGATCAAAATAGTATGTTTGAAAATTTGCCTCTTGGAAAATACAGTGAAAACGATTGGAAAAATTTCAAACTGCGATTACCTATCTTTCTGATAATGCTAATTTAAAACGGTAGCTTTTTTGGCAATGTTCTGTTTATTTCTGAGAGCTGATCAAAATTAGGTTATCGCACATTATCACCAAAAACAAATGACTCCTACTTCTATTTTTTGTAACTATAGGCTTGGATGTCAATGAATTTTATCATGTTGAAAGCTGTCGTACAGAAAGATGTCCAAAATACAAAAATGGTAGAAATGTCTCATTACTGCACAAAAGATCGCGGAAAAACTTTAGACTAATGCCGGTTAAGACAAAGTTGATAACCCATCGTCAGGCTGCATCGGAAGACCACGCGAAAAACTGTGACAACAATGAAGAATATGTCAGCAGAACGCCAGAAGTCAATACTAATTTAGCACGGCTTCCAGTGTGTGAATGATCATTTTCAGCTAAATAGTAGTTATGTCGTTCGGTTTAGTCATAAAATACATGAAAAATGAATGAAAGTGGAGTTATTCTGAGTTAATAAAACGGACGTGAATTTTGCTGAATTTACGCTTGTGACATGAAATGCATGCAGGTGTTTAAGAGCGGCTCTCGTTTGCAAAACAAGGTACATTTGCCGCTGGCGTAACCCATTACTCATTCTCATATTTCATTCTTACGCATGGAATAAAAAATTCGCGCCTGTTAAGGAAAGTAGAACCATGAAATTGAAGCAAAACTGTAAAATACTCACCTACAACGGTCACTTGGACATACTGGGAAGAAATTTTACTCTCGTTTTGCAGATCCAAACTGAAAAAATACCTTCCCGTATCATTCAGCGTGAGATTTTTAATCCTGAAACTTGCTTGTTCGTTCTTTACTACATCCACTCGACCGATAAATGATTCTGTTACTTCTGGCCGATACAAGCTATTAAACTGAACTTCTTTAGCATCAACATCTTTCACAACAATAGTAACATCATCGTCGCCGATTAGGATTCCAAATTTTATATACTGGATTGCCTTCCGGCTGGAATATTCCCATCGAAGAGTGGCATCACTTTCTACAAAGTAGTCCGCATCCTTGGGTTTTGTGGTAAAGTTAACAGCAGCGAATCCACTTGCCACAGAAACTGCGAGGACAAATATTAAAATGAAAATGATCAGCATTTCGCGCTTTCGTCAAAAGAAGTGAAAACAACACGGTTAGTGACGAATGAGTGCACTTACTCCGGAGAAAATTTGATAGAAATAACAACACATGCATACAGTGTGGACTGGTCACCACCATTTTGATTTCTGAATATAAAGCGGAAGCTGGCGAAAGAAATAAAAAGTTGCATTCCTTAAAGTACACACGTGCTCAACCGCAAATTGTTAGACAAGGGAATCAGCGCTCTGATTGGTGCAACTCTGACACGTGATAATAAACACCAACTTCTAAAATTGCTGTTCATGTAAGAGCAATCCAAAAACCTCCATGAAAACTTACCTGTTAATTTATTTCTTCTTGTCTGTTACCAAAAAGGGCAGACATGCACATATCCCTTTTAAAAGCATTTTTAATATACTTTTATTTTGCGACTTCGAATGCAATGTACAAGTCTTAACGACTTTCGACATCTCGAAAAAAACACGGCACAAAGATGATACTCTTTACCAAGATTAATTCAGGTCACTAAGAGAAATTAAGTTTCAAAAAGTACTTTCCGCATGTTCGAATGGTAGATCGCGTGAAGAAGATATTTCTCTCATAAAGAGTGTGTCTTCCTTAATTGTCTGGTAAATTATAAACCGCATTAATTTGAGTGGTGAGATCGATTATAAGACACGATATTTTATCAATAAGATTTGCGTTGGCTACAGACAGGAAACACCTTTCCCTTTTCCTAAAAATATATCCATAAAGAAAGATAAACATTTTCAAAAACATCTGTCACGGCCAAATTGGGATCATTTGTTAGCGGGAAATAATTCCCACCGGTGTTTACAGTTTTGGGGCCAAGAAACCAACAGACAGTGGAAGAACATTTATCATGAATATTAATACCTACAAATATATTTTATCTGTGATAGATATAACCGTCGTCTTTTGTCATATTTTTCCTTATAAACTAATTTAAGGGCAAATCATTGTTGTTTTTGTTCTTTTTTTTTATTTCCTAACTGAACTAAAACATCTGGTTTTTTCATACTAAATCTTTGATAGACTTGTGATATTCTTCATAGATATGTTCCATTCTTGTATCACTAATCTTTTTCTGGAGATCATGCATGGCTTCTTTAGAAAAATAAAA